ATTCAATCCTACAAGGCAGCACTCGCAGAGGCGCTCTCGACCATCCAGCGCATCTCGATTCCAGTGGATGTCGCGGATGAAGACTCGATGCTGAAACTCATCAAGACGTCCATCGGCACCAAGTTCGTCTCAAGATGGTCGGATCAGATGTGCAAGTTGGCACTAAAAGCTGTGCGAACTGTGGCAGACATCGATGCTCGTGCTGGAGGCAGTGCAGGTAATGTGGGCACAGTAGATATCAAGCGATATGCGCGTGTGGAAAAGGTTCCAGGTGGAGAGATTGAGAGTTCAAGAGTGCTTGACGGAGTCATGCTAGCCAAGGACATTACCCATCCCAAGATGCGTCGCAGAATCGAAAAGCCGAGGATCATCCTGTTGGATTGTCCCTTGGAATACAAAAAGGGAGAGTCGCAGACCAACATCGAGATCCAGAAAGAGGAGGATTGGAACAAGATTTTGGAGATCGAGGAGCAGCAGATCAGGATCCTGTGCGACAAGATCATCGAGCACAAACCTGACCTCGTCTTTACCGAAAAGGGCGTCAGCGGTGAGCAGTCATTGCGAGAATGTCCGCTCGGACTCGAGCTGACTGCTAAATTGTCGCGCGGCTTTTCCAGACCTTGCGCAACATTTCCTTTTGAAGGAAAACATTACCGCGATCAGAAGGGTGCGAAAGAGCGACAACAACCGTATCGCCAGAGCTACGGGGGCTACCATCGTCAATCGTGTAGAAGACTTGCGCGAGTCGGATGTTGGTACTCGGTGCGGACTTTTCCACATCGAGAAGCTCGGCGACGAGTGAGTGGCTAGCGTCGTCACGAGGGCTGCGCCAGACTGACTCATCCTTTCGCATCACGCTCTTGGCCGCGCAGATACTTTACATTTCTGGAAAAGTGCACGGAGCCGAAAGCTTGCACCATTCTGCTCAGAGGTCCATCGAAGGACATCCTGCACGAGATTGACAGGAATTTGGCGGATGCCATGTCCGTTGCCCGCAATGTCGTCTTTAACCCTCGATTGGCGCCTGGCGGAGGAGCGACAGAGATGGCGATTTCTGTAGCGCTCAACGAGCTGGCGCGCACGACGGAAGGCGTAGCAGCTGGACCTATCCGAGCAGTGGCGGAGGCCCTGGAAGTCATTCCGCGCACCTTGATCCAAAATTGCGGAGGAAATGCAATCAAGATCTTGACGGCCCTCAGAGCTCATCATGCTAATGGGGAGCACAGCATGGGAGTGGATGGAGAGAGTGGGAAAATCGTAGAGATGAAGGCTTATGGGCTTTACGAACCTGCTGCGGTCAAGGAGCAGACGCTCAAGACGGCCATCGAGGTGAGTGTCTCCAAGCTGGCAGAGACGTTGTTACAGGCGTTGCGCCAAAACGAAGGCGCAAGAGCCTTTTGGGGGGAGGACTTTTCGGCGTTGCCGGATATACAAGCATCTGACATTGGCTCCCCCTTTTCCTGTGCCTGCACAATCATAGAGCGCATCCTTGCTGCTACGCGTCGACGACGTCGTCTCGGCTCGTCGACAGCAGGGCGGTGGTGGAGGGGGGCCGCAAGTTCAGAACATGCCAGAGGGTGGCGGAGACATGCCGGAGATGTAATCCCTCGCCCTTGCACAAAAGAGGCAACAAATTTTTCACCTACCAATCATGCTTTTGTTGACACTTCGTGTGCTTGAGCGTGTTCCGGAGCTGTTCCGACTTTCAAGTGCGCCAACAAACGCTTTCAGACGATTCGCGAGGGGGGTGGAGGCGGTATGACAAGGTGCATGCGGCGAAATTGATAATGCACGAGGAAAGTGGGGGAAAGAAAGCGCAGAGGTAGAGAGGCGCGGGAAAAGAGAAGTTTATTTTGTTGGGGGAGGGGGGATTGTGTGTGGATTTTGCATTTTCAAAGCACTTGGTAGCGACCTTGTTGACCTGCCGGATTCCTCTGTTCGTGCTCCAGAGCGGCTTGCGCGCTCTCGAGCAGCAGCTCCTTGATAGCCCTGACGGCTCTCTCGACCTGTTTCGGGAAATTCGCCCATAGATGAACAAAGAAAGAAGAAACAAAAGGGGGGTCAGCGGGCGGGGCGAGGCTATGAGAAGGCTTGTTGCAATGGCCCTTGCTGAGGCTAGAAGATTTTGGCCGCCCCTAAAAAAAGGGATAAAGAAATGAAGCCGAATGTCTATGACACTTACCCGATCTTCATCGTTCGATTCGATGAGCAGCTGCAATTTGGGAGGTTCGCCCGCCGACGGTTCTCCCTTTTCGTAGTACTGCCCTCGCAGCGTGACGGAAGCGCCGGTGACTTCGATAAGCCTGGAGACCGTCTCCTTGTTCTGTATCCACGAATGCAAAGGGGGCAAGCGAAAACGGCGCGCTTCAGCACAATCGGAACATCGTGCTGCACACCAACTCTTCACTCTCTCTCTCAGTCCTCATGAGAATGCAAAAATCGCGCAAAGCTTTAAGGCCCCTCCCCTTACTCACCGTGACGCTCCACCTCGCTTTCTGCGGGAAATCATTGATGGGTACGACGGCGTGGAATTCCGTAGCGTCGGGATCTTTCGGTTTGCGTTCCATCTTCCTCTGTTCCGCTTCTGCCTGTTTGCGCGCTTCAGCAGCCGCATTGATCTGCGCGAGTGCTTGCGCCAATTTCGTAGCATTTGCGCCTGCGATTTTGGGTTGATTGGCAGCTGCAGTAGCTGCCGCTGCCGCTGCTGCAGCATTGGATTTCTCAACGTCGATGGAAGGAGCTTTGACCTTGTTCTCTTTCAGCGACTCGTCCACTGCGCCCCGCTTGACTTCGATGTGCATGTCATTGATGCGCTGCTCCTCTTCCGATATGGGAGGTCCGCGTTGAACCTTGATATCATCCACAGCAGCAGCATTGGTCCCTTGTCCGTTTTGATCGGTGTTCGTGTTCGACGGAGCTTCTCCCTCGCCATAAGTCGACCTTTGAGCTTGCAGTAGTCTTTCTCGATCATTTTCCAAACGATCCAAACCTTTACCTCCGAAACCCGAACCTGCTGCGTGTGCTTTGCCCGCAGCCACCTTGTCCTTGAATGCATCTGCTAGCTGCTGCAGCTCTTCAGGAACAGCTACAGAGCTAGCTTTGAGAGCAGCGATGATATCCCTGGCGTATCTATCCTGCTGAGGAGTGATAAAGGTGACGCAGGTTCCTTTGTTGCCCGCTCTTCCAGTTCGTCCCGCTCTGTGAACGTAATCTTCCATATGATTGGGCACATCGTAGTTGATGACGAGCTTCAACTGCTTCACGTCCAATCCTCGCGCTGCGACAGAGGTGGCCGTGACGATGGGAACAATGCCGGCTTTAAAGTCGCTAATAGTAGCATCTCTATCCACTTGGTCCTTGCCTCCATGCAGAGACATGGTGACGTAGCCCTTGCGCATCAGGTCCCTGAGCAGGTCATCTGCCGACTCTTGCCTCTCCACAAAGATCAACGTCCTAGCCTCCGAATCCACGTTGTAAGTTTGTCCAAGGATTTCAAGCAGTCTATTGAACTTGCTCTCGTCCGATCTGACCTCGATGATCTGTTCAATCTCTGGCGCGACGACGGACCTTCCTCCCACCGTCACTTCCACCGGTTTGTTCTTGAGCACTTTTCGCGCCAGGCTTTCCATCTGTTTGGGAAAAGTGGCGGAAAAGAGTACGGTTTGTCTATCGGGTCGCACATTGTTGACAATCTTCATGACCTGAGGTTCGAAACCCATGTCGAACATTCTGTCCGCTTCGTCCAACACCAAATACGTCACCCTTCGCAGGTTCGTCACTCTTCCAGAATTGGCGGTGAGCAGATCGATCATGCGGCCCGGGGTGGCAACGACGATCTGGGCAGTCCTTTTCATCTCTGCGATCTGCTCCGAGATGGGCGCTCCGCCATACACGCAAACGCCGCGCAATCCGATCGCGTTGAGAAAAGGCTTGGATTCGCGAAAGATTTGCACTGCTAGCTCTCTGGTGGGCGTCATGATCAGACCGATGGGGCCTTCGAGCGACTCGACGGGCCGCTGGTCTTTGATGTGCCGGAACATGGGCAGCAAAAACGCCATCGTCTTTCCCGATCCAGTCTTGGCAACTCCAATGACGTCTCTGCCAGACATGATTGCGGGTATAGCCTGAGCTTGAATAGGCGTAGGTCCTTTCCAGCCCAATTTCTTGATAATGTCCAAGCATCTAGCAGGCAGACCGCAATGGCTCCACTTGGTCAAAGGCTTGGGGCAATCCTTGCCTCGAACTTTGATGGCGTCCAGCTCCATCCGCAGCCTCTCCGCGTCATCCTCTGTCATCTCCTCGATCTCAGAAGGAGGGTGATAGAATGCTTTGCGAAAAGGTTCGTACTGCATCTTCGCGTGATCCACCGCCGGCATCTCCTTCTTCTTGATCTTGGCCGCAGCAAGAGCCATGATTTCTTCCGCATTCGCTTCTCCCAACTCGTCGGTAGCTTGAGCATTTGCGCTTGGATCCTCGTTGCCGACACCTGCCGCCATTCCGTCGTCGTCGCCAACCACCTCTGCCAGACCTCGGCGTTTCTGTTTGCCACCAGAGATACCCAAACGTTTTTGGTCCGCCGCGTCGACCTCTTTGACTTCGTCCTTGACGCCGGCCATAAATGCATCGAGCGGGTCATCCTCTTCGTCTTCTGCTGCAGGTGGACGGGAATCGATCTGCATGGCAGCAGCACCTCCACTCTGCTCCGCTGCCTCTTCCTCTTCTTCATCGCCCTCATCTTCGAGATCAGAGCCAGCGCCAACCTTACCGCCCGCCCCTGGCTTCAACAACGGGTCGATGGGTGGCAAGTTCAGCTTTTTTAAATCACGCTTGGCTGGTTGCTCGCTCATATCGTCCATGACAGATGCAGCACCGCGCTTGCCCGCACCCAGGTCGACTGCCGCACTGGCCTTGAGTCCGCTCGTGTTGATACTAGTGGCCCCAGCAGACAGCTTCAGAGTAGCTGGGCGGACGGCGGATCAGGTCATTGAACTGCGTCAGCCTCGTCACATCTACACAAGCGAGCTACATGATCCCACTAACTTGGCGTTTTCGTTGCAAAATTAGCAGCAACCTCAGCAGCCTTAGCTTTCGCCTCTTCGACGGCTTTCTCGGCTTCCTTTGCTTTCCTCCAAGCTTCCAAGCGCTCCTTCTTCCTCTGCTTGTCATCGCTGAGTGCCGTGGTCGGCGCAGCAGCCGCGGATGTAGAGGCTCCCTTTCCAGCAGCAGTGCTAGCAGGGAATGGTGAGCTGGAACCGGAAGGACTGGCGGTGCCACTCTGCCCTGGTGAAGCGTGGGATCCTGCAGCTGCTGTAGGATGAAGGCTGGGGAAAGCGGGACGCTGAGGAAGACTTGCTCCGGCTGCTGCTGCCGAGGTGGTGCTCGCACCTATTGACGCATGTTTCCTAGTAGGAGATGCGGAATCGACATCCCACCGCCTAGAAGACGATTTGGGCGCATCATCTCGCCCACCACCTGCCTCCCTTTTCCTTTCCGAAGCGTGCGAGTCCGAGCTCCTCTCTCGTCTCCTGTGATCGTCTATTCGATGCTCTCGAGATCTATCATCCCTAGAGGAATACCCGCGAGAGTTGTACGAGCCATCATCGCGTCTATGATGTTGGGGCGATCGAGACCTTCTACCAGATTCGTGTCTTCTTCTAGAACTTCTGTATTCTTCGACAACTGCGTCTTCCTCGTACCGCTTTCTTCTCCTGCTCTCTGCACTTGTGCCCTCGTGATGCCCATTGCGATCGCGATCGCGAGACCTGGACCTGGACCTGGACCTGGAGCGATGACGTCTACTCCCTTCCCGCCGATGTTTGTGATCGTCATCGTACCTGTCCCGACAATAAGGACGATCTCGCTCAGAGTACCTACCTCCTCCTTGCCTCCTGCCATCTCTGTCCCTTTCCCTATCCCTCTCTCTGTCCCTTGGTGTATCTAGGCTTGTACTTGTCATCACTGTGTGTCTTGTGGAGCCAGCAAGCACAGGCCTGTCAAATTGAGTGATCCTCTTGGGCAAAGGGCGCTGAGAGCAGCCTTCGAGAAAGGCGGATGTATGCGCTCCGATTTGGGATGCGCGGGGCGCGGACGAGCCTGATGAGATGATTGCAGCAGGAGCAGTGCAAACGTTCAGAGTCGCTGCACAAGCGTCGATGGTGTGAGTGCAGCTGACGACTTATTAGAGCAGAAGCTTGGACACTTGATTGTGATGTCGGAAGCGCAGCGCAGCATGCAGACAATGTCAAAAGAGGAGGCCTGTCAGGTTGAGGCATGCGCAGGTCATGCAATTGTGAATCGAATTTGAATGTGGATGACACAGAGGAGAGGTCACGTGACGACATGCC